AGGAAAGGAAGAGAAGAGGAAATAGAAAAAGCCTATGTCCGGTTGTTTTCTCTCAGTCTCGATGATCGTTCTCTTTCCCCCCCTTTCCGGGGTTTGGTCCAACAGCCCGGTTAAATACGGTACTCCACTTCTACCACGAATGCCAATAAATTCGTGACGAAGAATCGGCGCAGTGTGTCCAGGAATGTTTACGCTGGCTACCCCTGAGTCCTGCTTACTCACACGTCCAATAGTGCCTAAGTTTTCCCTCCGGGAGGCAGTGTGGTATGTGAGAATAAGTACTCATGCCCCCGCACCGAGAATTGGCACCCGATTTGGAATGGTTTCGGCGAACTCACGAGAGACAGTGTTCGAGGTGTTTGAAGGGACCCGGCCCATGGCACAGGTATGTTGTGAGAGTGGAATCATATATAGGACAGCTACCGCTATACACTATTTACTCGAGTATGAGCGCAAGAGGCATTATCCACCGAGAGCGTATGACTCAAGAACTTGTTGGGCGTTTCCGTATGAACTTGTACATACATTGCAGACCTAAGCCTATGGAGGTGATAACAAGTCCAATGCTTAAAAGGAGGCATTAAGTCCTGGGATTGGGAAAAAAAAGGGGTGCTATCAAGGTCCACGATATTCGTCATTTACTCCTAGTGGGGTGGTCTACACTCTCCTCTAGAAAGCAGTTCTAACGCTATACCTGGACAGACGAGACGCGCTGACTCACCCCCCCCCCCAGGTACCCACCTCCATGCTATGGCCGAGTCACTCTTCTACAAAAAAACGTTTGATATTTCATGACCTTTGTGAAGAAGCGTCGCTGAGCCACACAACCGTATTACCGCAGGAAGGCGATGACCTTGCCTATCTCATCAGTCCATGGAATACCGGTAATCCTTATGGAACACCCCCCCCCGGACCTATAAGAAACAGTGTCCGAGCTGTTTGAAAGATCATACTGTGGCGCAGGAATAATACCAGCACTGTATCCTGTGGGGGCGATCGTACCATACATCCGACAACTGCCCGAGCTAGGAATCTCCCTTTCTGGCGAAAATTCAAATGATACGAATGGGGTTGAGCCATTTCGGAGCTACATGATAGATCCTGCCGGTATGGCGCGATACGATTTCATCGGTAGCAGTGAGGAAATAGAGCCAGCATGTCTGTCGTGCTCAATAAGAGCCATTCTCGAGGTCGATCGGGGAATATTGCCACCGAGGTACTCTATATTTATTGCTCTCCACTTTTTTTTTAGGGGTCCGCAGGGGCCACTGTAGCTAGCTATTCCAAAAGAGGTGTCCATTCGTGGACGAGTATCTTACGAGTAGACACAAGTCTTCCATGGGCACTACGTACCGGTATCCCTTGGACCATCCAAAGCCGCAAAATTCTCGGCCAGGTGCGCCAAGCCTGTTTTTGGGGCATTCGGGTACCGGTACCCGAGTATTGCGGTTTGTTACGTACCATGGGGCTGCTAGTCTAAGGTGCTGAGTCACTTGAACATTGAAAAGCCCGACCTAAAATAGTAACTAGCGGTGAACTATTCTGGACTTAATTTAGCCTGTCCGTCCCGCGAATCCCCCACCGTCTCGAACGGCCCGAAGGATTTCCGGCGCTGAACTACGTAGACTAAGGACCTCTTGGACGCAGTGTTTTCTACTCGTAAATCGCGCTCGACGATCATTGACAATCTTCCCCCCCTCCCGGAAAACGAGTACCGGTATTTGCGCACCCGATGGTAACTTATCCGTCCGGCTAGTTATTTTCTCCCTTGAACGAGGAAAGTGTGGGAACGCCAATAGCGCAAGAATGTATGGGACATTGTGTGTGTGTGTGGCAGTGAGGATACGAGTGATACTAAATAGTGGCCTTATGGACACCCGAGAACTTGGTGAAATAAAAGGATTCACTCTGGTGGGCAATCGCCTGGGGACGCCTTTAATAGTGGTTCATGGGATCCTGCTTACTGTATCGGGTAAGATGTATTCGGCTCTTTTTCCCTCGGGATGTGCGTAAACACTTCACTTCCTTAGGCGAAAGGGTGGGGATGTCTGGATACAGTGTCTAACCTCCGAATCGCCTCCAGGCATAAGACGGGGGAGGGGTTTCGAATAAGAGGTTTCTGTATTCTGGGGTTAGGAGTCCTTGATTGGCCTCCTGGATTTTGGGATTTAGTAGGCACAAAGTTAGGGAGATATCGGGAGATTATTCAGTTTTATTTTAAAGGACTTTTGTGCAGTTCCCCGAAATCCCATCCGAGTTGTCACAGATTATCCATCCACCCTGTATGCCCCTGCACCCCTCCGGGTACAAAGGAATTGGAATCAACTATGATACTTGCCAAATACCACAGAAACCACCCACAAACTGCCAACCAGCTGCCCATCTCCTATCCTTTCCTCTCGCTCTGCTCCCCACTTCCAACTCTAATAGGCCGAGAACCGCCATCTCCCCTTACGGCATATCACCCTCATCCAACCTCCATCCCAACCTCTTGGCCCACAAGATATTCCTGAATAATCTGCTGCGTTTTCTTGGGATACGTCCGCACTGACATCCTCACAGACTTGCCCCGAGAGGGCTTTAAGTCGACGTCCATCTCCCCCGTTCCCAACAACGCCTCCACCACCGCTTCATAACCAGCGTTCGCAGCCATATGTAGGGCTGTGAAACCGGCTCGGTTCTTGTGATTAGCCTTGACTCTAGGATCCCGAACGAGTTCTCGCACGATATTTGCAAAGCCATTTTGTGACGCGGCTTGCAAGGGTGTGAACCCGTCGCCATTCGTGCAGTTCGCTAGGGTTCTCGGGTCTTCCAGGAGAACCTTAACAATGGGCTCATGGCCCTCCAGGCATGCGGCGAAGAGTGGGGAATGGCCGCCCGGGTCTGGGGAATTAACGTCGATTAGCGGGTTGGCCAGGAGCCCTCTCACACTGCCTAAGCAGCCTCTGCTTGCTGCAGCGAAGAGTGGGGAGCGGCCATCCGGGCCTAAGGCATTAACGTCAATTTGCGGGTTGGTTAGGAGCTCTCTCACAGCTCCTAAGCAGCCTTCACTTGCCGCGGTGAAGAGTGGCGTCTCACCATAACGGTCTACTGTATTAACACTGGCTCCTCCGGATCCCAGCATCTTTACGATCTCATCGTGTCCTTGTTTCGCAGCGAGATGTAAAGGTGTCCTGCCCAACCCATCGATATGATCGACATCGACCCTCCCATTGTCCAAGAGGATCCGCACTGCCCAGACTTTCCCATAGCGAGCAGCGGTGGAGAGTGGAGTCCAAAATGATTCATCAACCAAATCAGCCTTGACCCTCTCATCCGCCAATAGTACTCGTAAAACTTCAGCGTGGTCCTTCTCCTTACCCGTCCACGTTATCATATGCAGTGGTGTCATGGAACAATAGCACCGCGAGTTGACGTCAACGTCGGGGATACCAAGAAATATCTTGACGATATCTAAGCGAGCGGACACAACGGCTTCCGCGAATGGCGTGTATCCCCCGGGATCCTTAGGTTCAGGGTCAACTCCGCAGGCTATCAGTGTACGGATGCAGGTCTCATTCTGGGTATCCACGGCCCTGCTAAGAAGTGGTCTATAGCCCCTGATGGACTTGAGTATACCCCTGCCCAGAAGCTTTCGAACCGCTTGCTTATCCTCACGCGCCGCCGCATAGAACAGTGCCCTTTCGCCATATTTTATTGAACAGACCGAGTTTTCGAGGAGGACCAGGGGAAGTAAGGCAGAGAGATGGCGGCTAGTTCTTAGAAGAGCATTTGTGTCTGGCGGAGATAGACCCTCCGCAATTTGCAGAATTAACTCGTTTGGCAGGTTCAGAAAGCTCATAGTGAGTTCTAGTGCGATAGTTGGTACAGTACCGTGACAGGAGTAATGTCGTGAATTAACTTATATCGGTGCGAGAAACGTCTGACTCACGCTGTTCGGACTACAGCGTACGATACGATTCGATAAGGTTCTAGGAACGGCCGAGGGGAAATGTGTAACCCCCGCCCCCGCCCCCATTTCAAGTGCTTTAACTGGAAGAAGGTGGTCGACTACGGAAGATTGTGTTGAAGCTCTGAACCATAATGAATTCAATATTTGCACCCAAAACCATTCTGTAGCTAGGAGCGTTACACGCTCCCCCCCCCATCCCTAGCGCCATAAGATACAGCGCAGTACCGGTAATTTACAATGAGCTTACCGGTATTAGATGCCGTTAACCGGACCGGTATAGGAAACCACTCTACCGGTAGGTAGCAACGGAGATGTAAGAGCCGGGGAGGATTCACCAGGGCCAAGAGGCCTGGAAATGAAATCCCAATATAAGTTTTCAAATACACTTTTGACCCCCCCCGGCATCACGGATAAGAATCCGACCTGGCTCCTCCTGCGCACGCTTCTCCTCGCACACGGGTACTGCCAAAGCCCATTTTCAAGTCTTTTGCCCAACTATCCTCTAATCCAGGCACGTATGATACGCTATGAACGATCGGCCCGCTATATGGAGGCCTAACTTGCCAGCACTCTCCGCAACATAAACTCCTGTGGCAAACGACACCATTAGCCAGCATTAGATTCCACAGTGTGAGATGCTGTTTCCGCCGGTATCGCATCTTACAGCTGTATTTTATGATACAAAATCAGTTTTTTGCAGTAGGGTAATATAGGGTATCATGCGAGTACTGCAAAACGCCATCGTAATCGCGCGAATAGGTTAGAGCGTGGGATTGGGTAGATGGTGTTCTCAATTCTGGATGCCTGGTTCAGATGTGACTGCGAAGTTGCGAGAGTCTGTACTTGCCATGGGTCCGGAGTGCGCTGAGAGCCTAGGTGGGGGTAGCAAGCTTGGGGTAACAGCCTTCAAACGAGCTCCGTTAGTGGGGACTTATCATACAACAGCACTTGCGAAAAACGTTTGTCAACACTCATCACCACTCCTCACTCATTACACCGTCCGTCATGGATCTCACATTAGAAATGAATGGTATCGGTCAGGAAGAGGTCTCATGCAAGCTGGATGGATAATATTATTAAGCAACACCATGGAAACTACAGAGAAGGAAAAGGTGGCATTGCTACTCTCCATCATGCATACAAATCGGTATAAAACGAAAAGAAAAACAATCAGAATAAACAATCTACGGTATGCCAGTAAACCCTCCCCTCCATTTTGAAAGAAAAAAGAGACGAACACCCGATAGCCAACCTACACCTCCTTACACCACTTGCCTAGCCCTGCACGTCCGATCCCAGCCCGCCCCATCTCGAGACACTTCCCAATCTCCGCGAGACCTACTTCAACCCTCCACATTCTTCCCTCTCTGCTGACGCCACCCCCGGAGCCACCACCTATAACTGCGGGTACTAGAAGTTCGTATTCTGCCAGCCGCTCCCATGCCCCTAGGGCGACCTCTTTGCTCCATAAACGACCTGCCGTAACACCGGCCGCAGAACTGGCTACCTTTAGGGGTGACGTAAGCGCAGTGTACTCTGAATACGCCATCTGGAAGTTACACGTATCCGTGTCGGAAATGATATCAAGGCGGGCAGCTGCGATGAGAAGGGTTAGTTCTAAATCAGTGAGGCCGTCAAGGATTGACAAGATGCTGTCTGGTTCGTCGAGTTGATTGGCAGATAATGAGAAGGAGGGGCCCATGGGGAACGATGTAACCGAATCCGATAACGGAAGAATGCAACTATTAAAGAACGATTTGGGGTCCTTATTCTGGGCGTAGATGCGCCTCAAGTGCCGTTGGAATTGTTTATCACTTTTATAGAGATTCTACGCCCCACCTGTTAGTACCTCGGGGTTAAAGAGAAAGTGTAGGAGATTAATACTTCTATATGAGTATTCCAAGCCTCAAAACAACGCCGATCTTCGTCTGATGAACCATTTATTTCCGCGTCAACCTCGTCCATATCTACGCTTAATCCTCCTTTGCATATTTCCCAAAAACCCTTTAAAGTGGGAGGATTCTTGAGATGGACGGTACGATGACTAAAACGACTCTTAACTCGTTTCTCTAAAGACTCGACAACGTCGATGCGTGTTGTTGTGCCAATAGCAGCAATGGGCGCCTTGCGGGATTGTGCAATATCAAAGAGATTATATAGAAGCGTTTGGCGGGGATGAGTCGCGAAGAGATCAAACTCCTCTAGGATAAAGATAACAGACAAAGTTGTAGTAGTACTTGATGGATCCTCTTCCGCTAGCTCCTCCCCTTCCCCATCCGGTGCTCTGAGTTCATCTGGGTGGGAAAGGATAGCCAGGATAGAGGAAAGCGTATCTGCAAAATTGGTAGTCTATAGAAAGTGTCAGGCTGTGAGAGATTTAGATAAGGGTGGAAAACTTTTACCTTTGGTTGATCTCTTTCATCCAGCTCCATTTCAACACCCAATTGGCGCCATATTTCTCGCAGGGCAATTTTGTCATCCGTCTGAAAAAAGCCATTCAGGCGGACTGTAAGGAATTCTCCTTTGTGCTCCTCTGTGAGATCCGAGATAGCACTTTCCAGAAGCTGGTGGGTGTTAGCTTAAGTCCACTAAGTTAGATAAGTATAAAACCTTACAGTAGTCTTTCCGGTGCCTCGCGCCCCAATTATCAACATCGAGTTACCTTCACCTGCCGCGACAGTTTGCTTAAGTAAATGGCGGACATGTCCATTGGGAAGTTAGCACCGCTCGTAGATAAAAATGATACCGAGTTTTGTATACATACCCTTCCTCATCCGAAACACCAACAAGTTTACTTCGCTTTCTTCCCATCAGTTTCGGCATAACTCTCTTTTTCAATCGTTGGATCGACTCCGCCGGGAATTGTTCCAAGTCTGCATCTGCGATAGCGTCTGCAGCTGGGTCCGGGACTGCCATATTTTCACTAACGATCTCTGTACGGGTACGTTTTGGTCCCCCGGAAGCGAAGGGATCCTCTAGCCCTGCCAAGGTAGCCATAGTCTCCTTTGCCGGCGTCATAAGTGATAGCCGCTTCTTTGCCGATTCTCTCTCCTCTTTTCTTAGAGCTCTAGCAGATTGCACAGCGGTAACAATCCTTCCATCGGTAGCCACAAAGTCCTCATCGATCTCATGTTCTCCATCAACATCTTCTTCCTCCTGTGCTGCTGCTAGCTCGTCCGGTTCCCCATCCTCCCCGCTCCCCGCTTCCTCCTCCTCCTCAATGTCGTCCTCCCCAGTCTGCTCTGGAACTTGCTTTCTACCAGCACTAGCTCTCTTTCCCTTCTTCCCTACACTCGGCGTGGCCTCTTCCGACTCGAGTCCCATTGGCGCCACAGGCGCAACACCGGGGCCTTCCGGAGCGGGCAGAGCCCTCTTTCGTTGAGTTCTAGGCGGGCGAGAACGTGGCTTGATAGTAGTAGCAGGAGTAACAGGTGCCGGAACAACCTTCTTAGCGGAGAGAACCGGCGAGGACCTAGTAGTAGATATCTCGTCATCGCTACCGTCAATCTGAACAACCGGCTTTCGCGTCTTATAGGTAATCTTTGGTCGCCTACACTTCGCCTTCGTCTTCAGAGCGGGCCTAGGAACCTGTCGTTGGTCCCTTGAAAGTTCGTCTCCCGAGGATGAGGGGGCATCAAAGGGATCGGTCCGCTTATCAGTAGGCTCCTCCCCTTCCCCTCCTGCTACTTCCCCAATGACAACGTCATCACCGTTCTCCCCTCGCGGAGTGCTCCGAGTCCTGGGTGTGAGGGTAGACTTCCGCGAACCCGGCTTCGCGCTGCTAGGAGTAACGGAGTTATCTTTTTTCGTAGAGCTTCGTGTTCGCTTAGCGGTGGTAGCAGCCGGCGTAGCTACGGCGGAACCCGCATTCTCTTGGGATGCTGATGGAGTAGCCGGCGGAGGGGGCAGAACGGCGATGGTCTCCCCGATTGCAGACTTGTCAGGTGATTGCGTGCCCGCAGCGGTACGTGCGCGTTTGGCCGAAGACGCTTTCGCGGAGCCCGGGGCTTTACGTTTTGGCGGCATTGGAGATTCTTGGTGGTGGTGGATGGGCGGTGTCGGTGTTTATTTGGATGTTGCGAGGGATCCAGCCGGAGAGTGCAGCTTTCGGGCAGGGCAACGCGCTGAGGCTCTTGGTGCTCTAGAACTAGGGTTGGTGGTAGCTCCAACGTTGAGCAGGGGTATCATACTCGAGTACCGTACTGTACTGTACTCGACAAAAGACCAGAAATGGAAAATATGCGTGGCAACCAAGGTGTCCCACCAACGGACTCACAGGCGAAGAAGGAAGCGATATTGTAGTTGTCGCTTTTTTCGTGAGGTAAACTATCACTTCCAGTTCTGGCAGCTGGTCAATAATTCACAGCTTGAAGGAGATTATCACTTCCCGAGGCGTGAGCGATATCGCCGTTCAACGAATGAAGTAAACTGCCGTTCCTGCTATGGGATGCCAACCCATGAGCTAATTTCCACCATTGGCAGCATACTAGAGCAAATAGGAGAGGAAATGATAATTTACTAAGTTAGATACCACTATCCTGTCCTAATCTATTAATCCAATTTATGAGATGAGTTTGAGGCATTAATCAACCCAAGAAGCTTGATGCTAGCGCAATAAAACTTCAATAGATACGGTACTGTACTCAAGCATAGTATCCTTAGACTAAAAAATGTTGCAGTATCAGAGCCATTATTCTTTGAAGTAAAATAAAGCGTTCGGTAACGTGAAGAGAGAGTAGTATAAGTAGGAATGATAGATAAAATCCAGCAAGAGTTTTCTCAGGTACACAATTGAAAGGTCAGAATTCGCATATCATTTCTAAGTAGATAATAAGGCCCTTTTAACACATGATCCTTATCCAATATGGTGCCTGTGTGGATGAAAATTTTCACCTCCAGTAAGGGGGACGAAAGTCTTGTACTACTGAAACAAGAAAGAAACAAGAGAGAAATTTTCACTGCAAGGAGATAGAGAGGAAACAGTACGGAGACAACAGGGAGATAACAGTTTCAGACATCAAGTAAGGTAGAAAGAAAAGTTCGTAAAGATCTTATAGGAAACCAATGGAAAGTATGAAATCGAAACTCAAGGACAATATTCCAACATTCTTGTTCATCATGATGCACGCTCACTCTAAGGTGGAATTGACACGGTGAACGATAGTTAGGCCCATGCAACGAGCAGGAATATTGCTTCCTTCCTGGCATTGGGGATTTTGCGCACCAAGACCTACAGTACAAGTCTCAGACCATGTGCCATGTACTCGTACCGTACCGGGAGTCGAAAATTCCCGAATCTGGAAAAAGGACGGTAAAAGGTGAGCTGCTCGGCCCCGGTGAGAGAGATAAAGAAGCAGAGAAACACCAGGCGTTACCAGAAGAGGCAACTCCAACGGCATAGCGCTCGGCCCTTAGGCTGCGATTGACAGAAAAAACACTGACGAGTACGGTATGCCTTGGAATGGGTTTATAGAGTAGGTGTTTGCAGCTTAGCGGCCGGATGACTGCGTGTCATATAATACCATATCCATTGCATATACCGGTATGTGATTACGGATACTATGGGGGTATGGAGGGGGGGGAATATGAAACGCAGGTATTTCTGACACTCGCGAGGAGCGACACAAAAACGAGTTGTTTACTAAGGTATTGTGGTGATTAGTTTCCACTATGGATATGGTTTGGTGAAGATCATGCCTGCCTACCACTATTCTCCATATGTGAGCTTGAAGATGAGGTTAGGATGCAGTCCATATATTTTAGTCTTGCTCGTCAAGAAAAATCAATACACTCTGGCCCCCAGTCTTCGAGTACCATATAAGCTCGAAAAACTTTTCTATGTAGCCAAACCCTCCATACATATGCAAATTACCCGCATGGGGCACGACCCCGGAGAACTATACTCTGTGCATAATGATATGTTTCCTCCAGTCCGTCCATGCTCGGGTTGGTCTCCTGAATCCGTTGCAAAGGTTGATTCCCTCAACCAAAACAAGCAACTGTTGCCCCAATATCTACTTCATAGGATCACTAGTGCGTGACCCAAATACCCAATATCCCTCCCTGAATCTTAGGTGCATAGGGAGTTTTCGAGCCTGTACGATACGTCATACTAACCCGTTAGGAGTGACATAACGGCCCACAGTGCTGGGCAGCATCGACTCACGACCAAGCTGGAAGGGGTATCAATTTTTTTCCCTCAGCCTCCCTTTGCCTACCAGATCTGTTTTCTCCTCAGGGCATTTTGTCAGATGCTCGGGGTGGGCCTCATGAACCCCGAAAATATTGCCAGCGAGGCTACGAAAAATCTCGCAACGTCCCGAGACATTGGTGCTCGAGGGGGTCCGGCCATTATTGCCCGTGCCATCCAAAACTTGCGCAAGGGATTTCGTCATCAAACGATTATGCGTTTCCATCAGGTTAACGAACCGATTTGAGAAAAGACTCTAGATTGTTAGGAATGCTAAGAAGAATAATGTAGAGGAGATTTTTTTTTTTTTTTTTGAAGTAATTAAAGGTCTTAATAAAGATAATTGAGACCTTGAAATTATACCTTTCTGGTAGGAATGGGGAAAATGGGTTATGCACATCCACACTTTTGTTCCCAAGTAATCACTTTTTCCAAAAAAAAATTAGATAATAAAATTTCTATGCCCATATTAGTTTATTTATGGATGCATATCGGGAAGGAGTAGAGCGTGATACAAAAGTCTTTTTAACTGCAGTAAGAGATTACTATATGAGCAACGGACGCGCTGCAGGGATGGATGAACTTGATTGGTTAATTAAAGCCCTTATATATCTTAGGATACCTGTATTTCATCTCCAATTTTCTATTAATCTAATTCTATAAGGAACCCTTATGACAGCTATTGTGAAAGAAACTAGCCGTGGAAGGGGACTAGTCCCAACGGTTCACATGAGTGACGGCCTGTGATGGCATTACAGAACAATCGTGAAAAGAGAGGCACCAACTACTGTAAGTTACCTACTTGGAGATAATAGAGTTCGCGGGTAGCAGTGTGTATGAACAGGCGGAAGTAGAGTTAAGTAGTTTGTATATGATATGCTAAATATAATAGGTTTACTTACTTTCTGGAGTACAGTATCGTATACTAGCTAAGAGTGTCGTCAATACGGTAATATGGTAGAGGGGATAGTGAGCAGGCTGGAATAATGAACCACCCTTCCAAATTTGGCATTCGCAACCACATTTTTCGAGTCATTGAGAGGGGCCCCTTCTGTTCCATGTTTCCACTAGGTCAACTTCCCTCAAAGTGGTCCGTTGGCCCACCACTCTTCTGTCTCGGTTAGCTAACTAAGTGGTTGATATTGGATCCCAAATTACACAAAACTATGATATCTCTAGAAGACAACTCATCCACATATCTAACCCCTTTTTGAATTACTCCTTAGTCGTCGAACTATATAGATATTTGGATTTGCCGAATTTACTCCCCGGTCATTAGAAAATTGGGGTACAGTACTGTACGTTATGTTAAATATGCAGCTCTTGGATATAAGTCGTCCTCGATTCGGTAAAGTGTCAATGAAAACACACCATAATCGGCGACATATGACGGCGACTGGATCTGCAGCGGTTCAGGATCTCGGATACCAATTATTGCAAAAATGAAGCTGTAGGTAACCAGGAGCTTGTAGTTTAGTAAATTTTGTGCGAATTTGCTTTTGTACCAAACACAGTTCACGCAATTGAGGTTCAAGGTGTCGAAATATTCGCTTCGAGTTCTGAGCCTCAGAATTTATATGGGTGCACATAGAAAAGGGTATCATAATGCTTGTTCTAAAAGTTCCGATTTTTACTGGCCAACCCACAGCGCAAGACACATCTAATTTGGCTAACATTTGTGTATTGTGAAGTCCGTACCGCGGCCTGGTACACTGAACTGATATATAATCGATTGAGGTGGGCTTGGTGTTGTTGCGTGGTGGCGAAAATGGCCGTACAAAGGGCGAGTGACGATGACCTTTGATAGGGCAGAGTATCAACCTACCGTGACACTGCATGGTACTACAATACAAGTGCTGTGCCGGTACTTTACTCGAGTGCAGTACTGTACTGTACAGTACATCATATGCACAAAGAAGGGTGTTGTTGGTGTAAATTTGGGGGAGAATGGTTGGACAGCACAGAGGTATCGACGAGGTTCCACAAAGACCCCGCTTTTCTTGT